TGGCGTCTGGAAATGTAGCAATGGCGAAACAATCGACGCACGAACAGCCTTAAATTTGACATTTTTTTGACCGGTATGCAAAAAGAGCGAAAGAAACAGCGTTTAGCACAATGATGCATGTAGTATCTGTTTACTTGGGCCGTATATAAACGCCAAAAAAATGGCCGTGGAAAGTAACGTTAGCCATCGGAAGCTAACGACATAATGCGTAGAGGGTTAAAGTTAGCGAGCTGAGCTATTACCGACACGAAAGAAGTGGATTAATACTCGACTCGTCACAGACAAGGAAAGGGCGACAACGAGGCAAACCAGAGCGACTGCACATTTATACTTGTATTTGTTTTAAGGTCATGTAAAGTAGCCAATTGCGACTTCCTGCTGAAATATCTTCCTGTATTTCAGCAGGAAGATGGGGTTACAAATTGTATGACTGGGGCGAGTTGCCCAAAATGCAACACCCCCTCCCCCACGCTTGCATCATTAGAACTCAATACAAACCGTAAATCTAAATTAATGTAAAATGTACGTTTATGTCCGATTATAACGTATAATAGTCGTCAGTTAGTCGTGTGGCATCGGGTCTATTCCCGATTACCTCTCGTCATAACTACAATTCCATTAAAAGCTCAGTAGCCTGAGATTACTGCGCAATGTAGCTATCGGCATCTAAGCTATTATACCAGCTGGTCTTGATTTGAGTAGTCTTGTAGATAACATACTAAACATCTTCATATCTCTCTTTGACGTTACATGCATGTAAAAGCTCATTGTTCTCTGGCTTTGTATGATTTTCGCTGAACGGAAATAATGCAGGGTGGGAGCCACCACGACCAAATTCAAGTTTGTAACTAACGCTAAAATGTACTGTTTTCATGCTGGCTGAGGGTGTTGCAAATGCTGTTATCAAGTAGCACATGTCAGAAATGAATGATGCGTTTTTCTGACAGACCGTAGCTGATGTATAGTAAAGTAAAGTATGTGCAAATAAAGCGGTTATATTTAGGAGGTCACATTAGTGACACTAAAGCGAATGAAACCGTGCGCAACATGGCCTCTTCTGTTTCTGTGTCAAACCAACACGAAGTGAGACCCCCGTCAGAATAACATCAATATACATCGTACTTTTAAGGACAAGTTGACAATGTTAGCAGTTGTTGACCGAGTCAGTGTGCTGTATCAAAGACGTTGTGGGACAGCCATTAATCTAATTGCAGCGTTTTCTGTCTTACGTTACCTTTATAACATTGACGTATATATATTTGGACTTAAAGCTGCTTTAACGCGTGTAGCAAACGCTTACACCGATCGTTGCTACCTGTGAATAATATTGACCTGATAACTTTGTGTGACGTTTCTTGTATCGCCACACTATCAAAGAGTCGGTCTGTGTCGAGCTAATTTGAGCTAGTAGCATGCGCTAGTTAGCAATCGGTCTCCTGGCGTTACGCTTGCCAACATGACATTTTGGGAAACTTGCGTCACCTAGTTGGCAGTTTTTTTCAATCATTATCTAGGCAAATATGAAATAAATTGACATCTACCGTAATAGACCCTGGATGATATTGCTCAGCTAGCTAGCAAGCTAAACTCAGCTGATACTACAACTACGTTAGCCTAGCCAAGCTAACTAAAGCCAACAATAGCCTTACAGGTTTGTATTCACCTTTAAACTACCACGTAATGCAGTTTACTCACCGTTTTATGTCCACTCTGTATGATCTGAAGAGCGAATTAGGGGACCTGGGAGAGACCCCCGTCGCTTTCAGCACAGCTTCCACAACCAAAACAATACTTCTGTCCACACACTGCGGATCCCTAGCAAAGCTTTTAAATGTTTGTCTATTAACTTGTCCGCTAAAGAGTCATTTCGAGTGAAAAATCAATCGCTTCTTGGTCTACGAGGTGACCCAATTTTTGACTATAAATATATTCGAAACCGTTAAAACAGTGCCCTAGTCATCGGAGACTTTTCGAAATTAGATCCCCTCAAACCAGTCTCTTTTCCCTTTGCAAAAATGGCGGCCCTGCCAGGACTGCCGAGACTCCGCCTCCCCCACGAGCCCCCCTCCCTCCCCATCACTAAACCCGAGCTCCGCCTCCACATACTGCGGGGCTACCCTCCCGGTTTCACAGGGGCAACCGTGACCGCGCTCCATTGCGCATCCACGACTGTGATTCCTCAAGACTCAAGTCTGCTATTTATGTCGGTAACGCTCTGAATTTACTTTGTGCTTTACTCTTTAGACAATGCATGAATAGAAATGGGACCTTAGCATGTTGAATGACTTATAAGTGTAAAGTAAACTTTCTGAAGTCACATTACAGGTGGTTTAATCATTGTTTTTGTTAGGATTTTAAAAATAGCCCCTCAAATACATCTTGCAGAATGCAATATGTAACACATTGCAATAGTGTGGTGTTGTGGTTACATTAATGCCCGTGCAATCTACATGATCATCTTGTGAAAGTAGGAATGTTTTTATACGGTGGTTTGGTCTTCCTCTCAGGGTCAAAGGGCATATTTTGACTTAACACTAACCCTCATATAGCCAGTTTTATATTACATTTAATATCTACTTTTGTTTCTCTAGATATTTTAACAGACTTAGGCTACAGTGACAAGTGGACATCCCAAAATATAGGCTGAGTTGGCCAGACCAGATTGTTTATTGCGATTATTTAGGACCAGAATCTCTGCTTTTACCACTGGCATGGCTGAAAAGAAGCACCAAAATTCACTACCCAACACAGGAGGAGGCAACTAAGCTGTTATGTAACCCCTTACACAAGAGCAGCATTTTGTTTATTGAACTGATGTGGTACCCATTAAACACTGACCATTAACAGTAAATCAAGAATAAAGTTGGCAGACCATACATAATAAAACATGCACACTAAAGCCTACATGTTTGATACATGCAAATATCTGGATAAACAATTTCACTTCAATCACTAAAGAAATCCCAAATCAAAGCATGTGTAAAATATGATTTATTTGTCTGTGTTATCAGCTGTCTAGTCGTTTCAATTTACAACCCTATTGGATTTATTTAACAACCATATCACTTCACATGAGCTCTGACATGTTTAACACACAACAAAATAATGATTCTAGCAATCTTCCCGACAGCTTTATCGTTGAGTGTAAATCGGTCAGTGTCAAATCTCCACAAATATGTCTGTAGAAATCCCTTTGACATCATTTGTTTGAGAGAGGATGCTCTCATCGTTTCCATTTATTGACCCCTCCCCCCACCCGAAACCGCATCCCCCCGCGCATGCGCATTCGTGAAGGACCGCTGCAAAACCCTGCAAATGCTGGTGCACGGGCGGCGAGGTTGTTTGAAATAAACTTGCGGGAGGACGGAGGTAAAGGTTGGGCCGCTCGAGCCACCGTCACCCTAACGGAAACGTTCGTAGACGAGGACGCAGCGATGAAACGAGTACTTTTTTCGGAGAGGATCACATTTATCCATGACCGTTGTGCCCATATCCGCGTTTTTGGTCTGAAGATGATCTGACCTCTCACTATGTTAAGATAATGACGCACATTTAATGGGAGGTTTAGAAACAAATGAAAATTTCTATTTTTTTTGTTGAGAAATGGTTGGTTTCCGATGACATCATGTAGATAGTGTTTTGTGGGCGGGCTCTGAGCTGTGAGGGGAGAGGGGCGCAACCGGAGAGCATCGACGACCAGGCGCCATTAGGTAACAACGTACCGTGTGTGTATTTATATATGCGAAGAGGCTTCCCGGTGGGTAAAATGTAGATGGGTCGACATAACGACTTGTGTTTTACACACGGAGTGGGACATTTCACAGTTTGCGTCTGGCGATAAAAACGACTTCCAGTCGTTATACCAGATGTTTACCGTTGTGGACTGGAAACAAGATGGCGTCGAGGATTCCTTTCTTTAAGCGCACGCACGGGTCGAGGTCGCGCACTCTTGGGCGGCGGCACCACCACCGTGCGCGTTCTCGCCACAATGTTATTATTTCCTGTTTCACATCACGATAAATTGACGTTCTTGTTTAAATGCACTCTCTTCTCTGTATAACACAGTTACATAAGCACTCAATGTTCCTCCTCCACTTTTCACACTATAAGACGTCTTCCTCTTAACGAGGATAAACGGTCATATACAACCGTAGAGCTCCCTTTACCCGCTTTGTTTTAGCTTTTGACCCCATCTAGTGGACCGTGCAGGCAAAACGGACGCATTAACTGGCTATGTTTTCCATTTCTATTAACATAATGTATATTTCTTTGTATTATAACCAAGAGTTTTTTTGTGTACCTGCCCTTTAGTGTGAAGTTTTATTTAAATAAACAAGTGTTGAATACGAATCGATAAAACTTGATTTGTTCTGACAACTATGACCTCGGTAATATAAAAAGATTAACAAACGTTGTGACACAATGGTAGCATAAAATAGAAAAGAGGTAAACAATTCAGTGTTCCAACTTCCAGCTGTGTCTAAATGAAATACAGAAAACAGTAATCAGCCAACTCAGTCATGTTTCAGAGGTGGAAGAAGTATTCAGGTACAATACCACACTGAAAGTACAAGTCATAATCCTACATGCAAAGCCATATTAAAGTAAAGGTATGTAAGTATTATCAGCAAAATTCAAGTAAAAGTCCTGCAGAAATAGTCCCCGTCAGTGTTTTACTATTTTTTTTATATATATATAATATATATATATATATATATATATGATGTTTTTGGATTCATATTTCTGATGCATTAATGTGTATGTCAACATAAGTACCTAAAATTAGCTATAACTATATAATTTAAAAAAATTTAATAATATATATATATATATATATATAATAATATAAAAACTAATAAATAATTGACAGCAGAACGCAAAGAGAAAGTACTGTCCCTTGGAGACCACACGGGGGCGCTGTAATGTTCAAGTTGTTAGCCAATCAGCCAATCAGTATAGAGAAACAACGGAAGTAGTCACTCTCTGTCCAATCACAGCCGTCGTTGTTGAGAGGTCGTTTATTGACAAGGGGAGAAGGTGACTCCTCGACGAACAGGGCAGTTCTTCACGAAAATCTCAACAAATAACCAAAAATAAGACTGGTGTTTTGCTAAATTAGCAACCATGTCTTCTTTTGGGCGGGCGTTGGGAGTCCTTCGGACCGGAAGTCAGCTCCTCAGGCGCGGTACGCAAAGAATAACGACCAGAAAGTAAGTATTGTCAAGCCTGCTAGCATCTTTAGCTATAGAAAAACACTTGCTTACACAATGGTAAACTAGAAATATTTAAGTTCTTTAAACTTTGAACACCATCTTAAATGACAGTCTATATTACAAATGAACTAATTTCGCCGTAACAAGGATTTTAAATTAGTTTTTTTTTTAAATGTTTTAGGGCTAGCGGTGGACCGCATATCGAGCCCCAGTACAGGCAATATCCTCAGATAACGAAGAAACAGAAGTTCGAGTCCGAGCTCCTGAGCGGTGCCATGTGGTTCTGGATCCTTTGGCACTGCTGGCACGACCCTGATGCAGTCCTGGTAAGTAAACGTGTACTAGTACACACCGTCTAGCCCTCCAGACACTCTACTGCAGGTGGATGCAGTGGGGTAAAGTAACTAAGTAACGTTACATGTTTTAAAGTAAGGCTATAACAGTGTGGGAAATGTATCTTAAAGCAACAACTTTTTTGTCTGAACATAAAAAGCAGAAAGAAGGAAAGTAGCTAGAATCAGTCGAGGTAAACACTGTATTTGTAATTTGTGTATGTGTAAGTTTATCTACAGTATGCCATACTGTACAAACCTGTCAGGTACATAATCTATTAATTAAAAATGGAAATGTTAAATGAAGGTTCTTGCCTCTTCTGTAGGGTCACTTCCCCTGGCCTGACTCCTCTGCATGGACAGACGAGGAGCTTGGAATCCCAGCAGATGACGAGGAATGAGGTGATTTTCTCAGTTTCCTTTGCTTAAATGAACACTGGTACAGTAACCAATGAGGACAATCGTTTTTACTTCCATAATATGTAATCCAAATGTAGAGAAAAAGTTTGGTTCACTTTGCAAAACGGTTCCACTTTATCCAAGTAATATTTGATGCTGTAAAAAGGTTTATGTGCATGTCTTATCATTTATTATCAACATACAAGCCTGTGTTGTTTCAGCTCTCCTTAGATTAGGAATAGTTGACCAATAAATATATTTATCGTAATAGCATTTTCATTTCAATTTAATTGAAAGAAAATTGCACTTTTAAATGTAACCCTCTTTTGTTGGTGCATTTTGTGTTCTGTTCCAATACCTCCCAGTATAATTTAATAATCAATAGTACCACAAACTACAGCCTCCTAAATTATCATACAATTGAATCAACACCTCCGAAACTAAACATTTTAAGTTTCATGGAGGAGGATTTGTGGCAGGACTCTAGTATTAGACTGCATTAGTTTAAGATAGGTGTACGTAATAAATTGGCAACTGAGTGTTTTTTCCCATTTTGTCCACTGCTGTAAACATCTTATCTTTTGTCTGTAGATCACGAGGGATTCAAGCTGCTGGATAAGTCTTTGTGGGAATCTTCAGGATATTCTGAAAGTCAGTGTTGTACATAGACTAATAAAACTATCTTTAAATATGTCAAACTGTTGTATTATTTATGTAAAACCACAGTATAATATGGTCTAAACTTTAACATCTACAGTTTGTTAGATCGGGCTTTACAAAAAGACATTAAGCATATTATTTCATTAGGTTTTTTTTTTTGTTTTTTTATTTACACGCAATTTTTGAATTGCAGAAACAAAATGCAATGCATTAACAGTGTCACAGTTAGCCAGTGTTTGTATATTTTAAATCTGGGGGGGCGGAACACATAAGAACCAACGCACATAACACAAATGCCAAGAAAGCAAAAAGAGGGACAGATTGTGTACGATGAATACTATAGCTTATTACAAACCCTGCCTGCGGGCCAGCTCGTGTTTTCAATGACTTGACATGCAAAAAAGTTCAAAAGTGTAGTGTAAGAAAAGAGGAGGAAATCAGTCTGGCAATGTGATTAACGCTATTTCTTCAGTTGGTTCTTTGTGTTAGGATTACGTGAAACACCTCCAGGCCTGAATGACTGAGGTCATGTGCATTTAAAGTCAACCTGAGCAAAGCTTTCAAAGTCTCCTGGAATCTACTTGGCAACAATAAGCCTGGGTGTAAAGTCTCCTAGAGTCCACCTAACAAGCTAACACTGAGCTGAACGCGTGTTAAGAAGCAGTGGGGGACAACAGAAGTTGTAAAAGTTCACCTAAAGGTACAATGACAACTTGAAAACAAAGAAACCTAAGAAACTCCAAAGCAGGAAGTGAATCTTTTAAAGTCTCGAGTGAGTGCTGAGAACATCGTGGCTGGTGGGTCAATCGAAGGTTATGTCCATGGCATCATTCCCTGAGTGAAGAACTGCGCACCCCGAGAGAAACATCACACATCAGCACTGGGTTTTTTTTTTTGTTTTTTTTTGTTAAAGGAAAAATCTCACTCATCCTATTTAAGTTCCCCGACGTTCCCTTCGACCACAGTGGCTCAGAATACTTGTGGGTTGCGTTTTTTTTGCTAAATGATAACTGGCACTAGTTGAAAAAGCTTCAGGTGTAAATATGGAAGTCGACGTTTCTCAACCTAACCTAGTTTCTATTCGCACGAAGCCCCAACACCTCTAGAGGAAACCAGAACACATGAGAATCAACACTATTCAACTGGGAGAAAAGGGTTGTGACAAAATAGAAGGTAAGAAAAGATTTGTAGATAAATTGCTACTCAACAGATGATCACATGAACTCTAAAACATCCACATTTACAAAAAGCATGTGTTAAAGATAAAAAGAGAAAATTAACCCTATAAAAGGAAAAAAACTCAATAGCTGAGGCTTTAGGGTCAAAATATAATAAAATCATTATCTCTTTCAATTAATAAATACATCATTCAGAATCCATAAAAATAACATTAAAAAACAAATAAATTAAGCAGGATATCACGCGACACACGTCATCCGTCGTCTTCAGGTTTTTTTGGACCGAGCGACTGACTCGTAATTCCTATTTTAAACAAATTCAGAGAGGCAGCACTTTGAGTAGCTCAGAATCTCCCCTCTATCAAAACAGTGCAGATTTGGAAGGATGCACCAAACTGCTGCCTCACTCTTTCCTCTCTCCTCAAAGTCATTATTGCTGGTGTGATTGAGATAAAGGGGGGTGTCGGGGGAGGGAGGCGAGGGACAAACAATAAGCACCATGTAGAAAGTTCAGTTCACCGCGTCCTCCTTAGCACCTCGTTTCCAGATCCAGAGGAAAATAATAAAAAAAACCTTGCAAAATACATACAGCTCCGTTTCATCTGCTCCTCCGTCCTGTTCAGTTTGTCACAGACAGCAATGAAGCAAGCATTAAGTATTTTTGTTGTTCGTTTGGTAGACCTCCTACATCTCATTTGTCCATTTAAAATGCCCGCAGGAGCTTCAGTCCACCTTTTCCCTGCAGCAGAACGTTTCACAACATGCTTGTCCCTCTCTGCTTCCTGTAGCTCCTTTCTGTTTTGTTCTTAGTGTGCTTGTGGTGAAGTCGTGCACTTGCTTTATTTAAAATCCAATACCCTGTCTCCTAAGCATGCAGAGTGAGCGTGTTGTTCGTGTCAAGATTCGTTCGGTTACGGTAGTCCTCAGGCAGTGCGTTCGTTTGTGTTTTTTCTGGGAACAAACACACCAAAGTTTATTTTTTCTCCCTTTTCCTTCCACACGCATCATTTTTGAAAAAGTTGAATTGTTACACAAACACACGATTGTTTCTGTTGAGTTTCAGGATCTTCCCCAGTCTCTGCTTGGCTGTGGCCATTCCTTTTTTGGGCCGCTTGCCTGAAAAACAAAAAGAAAGAAACCAAAAAGGTGTTCAATGCACGTCTACTAGTGCTATAAATAAAGAATATTTGGTAATTGTTGAGTCTATACATCTATGAAATATTGAAAAATGCTCATCACAATTAACTAAAGCACAAGACGGCATATTAACAGTCCCAACCCCCGAAATATAGTTTACCCCGTTTACTATATTTAATATTCATATTTTAGAAACGAAAATCTGTGAATGATGATAAGAAACTGTGCACATACATCATGCTGCACAGTCACAACAAGAAGTAAAAACCTGACTTCCAAACCTTTTGTGGCCTGATTGCTGATAGGTGGGGGGGGATTGGGGGCATGCCTCTTGGACGGGTGCAGCGGTGGAGACATTGAGGGGTCACAGTACTGGTAGTCTGCCTCTGGGCTGCCGCCGTGGCTCCGGCTGAGGGGGCTGGGCAGCCCCTGATTGTCCCAGGCCTCGCTGCTGTTGCCCTGGCTGTCCATCGGGCTGTTGTCCCCCTGCAGTCGGTGCTGGGCCTCCTCCCTCTGCTCCAGCGGCGAGCACTGGCTGGAGTTGGACCACCAGGGCTCCTGGGACGAGGCCACCTTCTCCGGCTTGGAGGAGCACAGCAGACCGGCCATAGACAGCATCCCCTGAATGGCCTCTTCTGTGCTGGGTGAGGTAGGACGTTCTCTGCAAGAAGCAGAAAGGATTTGATTATTTACTGTAAAATAACACACGGCGGAGCCATGACGGGACCACATACAACATCTTTGACTGCGTTTCTCACCGTTTGTGTTTGTGCCTGAGTTTCTGGCCAGACGGGTCCAGCTCTATGGTGTGGCCTGAGCCTCTCTGCTGAGAGGAGCTCCTCTCCTCGTCATCCTCTTCCTCCTGGGAACTCCCTGAATCCTCGTCAGAAGAGGACGACGACGATGATGACGACGAGGACGATGACGCTTTACGCTACATTGGAAAAAATATTTATTAGAAAGGATGCATCAGTTATATCATGAAAAGGATGTTCTTAATTGTGGCCTTGCTTATATTGTGCCAGAGGGATTCATGCATTCCATGTGTTGTATTTGTATCTTTTAATCTGTTTGCGTCTGTGTTGCATGTTTTAAATGGTACCTAATAATGTAGTATTATTATGTACTATGTGACATTTTTAAACATAAACATCCTCTTCTCTTTTAACGCTTTTAAACAATTTCAATACCTTTCATTTTCAATTAAAGGTACGTAAACATTGTGCATTTACAGCAATGTAATTTTCCCGGTCCAGGTTAAATAAACCAATCAATGATTCATAATCAATAATAAATAAATACTGATTGCTCAGTATTTACCTCTGAGGGAGAGTCACTGTCTGAATCCGTGTCCGACACACTGGAGTGTCCGGAGACTTCTTCCCTGAGTTCAGTCTTCACCCTCTCCAGAACACCTGAGAAACACAGGAACACCGTGAGCTTAAGACACTGATGTTGACCCTACAATGCTAAAATATATGTTTAATAATAATGATTATTAATAATAACAGCCCCTGGTGACTTACTGAGGAGTGTGGGTTTGTCTTGACTGTCCTGTGTCCTCTCAGACTTCACACAACTCTTTGGTGGGCCAACAGATGACTTCACCGGGCTGCTGGCTGCTCGCCTCACATCTCTGCACACACAAAGATCCAAAAAATATAATTTCACCATAAAATATAAAGAATCTGAACTATAGAATAGAAAGATTCACATCAGCAAAACTCTGTCTTTTAAAAACAACAACAATTGAAGTCCTCTGTTTTCATTTCCTGTTTCCTGTTATTGAAGGTTGTTATTGTTCTTTCTGACTCCAGTTTCAAGTATCATTTATACTAAGTTATCAAAAGCAGTTCTTTGAGTTTGTGCCTAAGACTTTCTCTGGAAGGATTTTATTGCACAGAATGAACGACCGCCAAGCTTTTACTTCTAAGAAGCACGAACATCGCTGTGTTGCCCAAAGAGAAGTGAGCTTTCACCTGATGATTCTGCCGTTGACCAGCATTAGCCGTAGGTGGTTGTCCTCTAAAGACTCCGCCGCTGCTGATGCAGTTGACACTTTGTTGAGCTTCCCACGGACCTTGGCACAGAAGGCAGCATCCTAAGTAGAGTAGATCAGCCTCAGTCAATAAACACGGACCACAACATCTTTTAGTCCATATGTTTAAACTAAAAGGAGCATCTACAACGTTTCTTTTCAAGTGCCACGGTCAGTAATCACTGCCTGCTCACCTCCTCCAGCGGTCCCACTTCCAGCCTCCTCAGCACCTCCCTGGTGTGCCGCTCTAAGATGTCCAGGTTGGAGGGCATTTTGGGGGCCTGCCGCTGCTGCTCCCTCAGCCGCCTGGCGGCCCTTCTCGCCTGCCGGGCCTGGCACAGCCTCTCCAGTGTGGCGCGGGTGGCCGGGCAGGCGTTTGATCCAGATGCTGCTCCACACCCGATTCCCTGAGATTTCACTGGCTTGCTACCACCGACTGGTTCCTCCTGATAATTCAAATAAAGCATAATGGAGTCACGTTTTTTGTACCAAAACTAGGAAGTAATTTACTGGTTCACAAGTTCACAAATTGCCTTCAAGAAAAATACAGCCCACATTTAAACGTAATTGCATTAGAATTTGCTAATTTAATGAGCTTGTGTAACGCATTTAATGACAACATTTCTTTTCTTCAGTGATCTAATTCCTTCACAGTGTGTGTGTACTTTGCATATTCCAGTTTATGTTTAAAACCAGAACCGTAGCTCCTCTCTGAGCCGACATCAACACCTGCATCAGGTTTAAAAAGGTCCAACCTTCTCCTATATCCTCACCTCCAGGTAGCGGATTTCCTTGGTCAGCTCTTTAATGAGATGGTTCGGCCTGATATGGTCTGGTACCTCACTGGTGGGCTCAGTCACCTGCAAAGCCACAGCAGACCACATTCAGACAGGAGAAGGGAACAGACAGAAGCCTGTTGTTGCCCACTGACACACATCCAGGAGATAAGAGCAAACAGTGGGGACGACTGCGGAACAATAACCATCTGGACTGTGGATATTTGAGGCGGAGTCAGTGCAGCTATACGGAGATGATGATGACCGTGAGAACACTGCTCACCTCTCTTTTCAACCAGGTCCTCAGAGCAATGATTAAAGCCTTGACTCCCTCCACTAGGTGTGTTGGTGGCGGACAGTTGTCCTCTCGTAGCTCTGAGAGGGGAAAAAAAAAAAAAAAAGGTATTGAGCATTTCTTTACATTACTTCTTCAGTTGAAATGTGTCTTTTAAAAAAAATCATTGTCAGAGTTGAAAACAGAGCCGTTTATGACAAACATGTTGGAGATACAAAGTACCCACAGGACAGCGAACAATACAGATTTGGAGCATGCATACACTGGTTATTATGCAAATAAATGGGACGATACAATACCTGAATGGTGTCTTTAACAATGGCTATTATTGTCCTTTTAATTCCATCACTTAGACCTCACATATATGAGGGGATGCTCCTACCAACCATTTGCTTTATCTGCCTCTATTATCCTGACAGGTCAGATACAACATACAGCTTTTACCTTACATCTAATATCACGTGTTCTCATCTCTGTGGTTTGTACATATTATCGTTTGACTCACCTTTTAGCGTTTCCAACAGGTTTTTAGCCACATACCAACAAATGGCCTCGAAGTACGGAAACTTAAAGAGGTCTGGGGTTTTCAGGCGACGCTCCATTTCATAACACCTACAAATCAACAGATGAAACACAAAATCGTTTTTAATGACAAAGCAAAGATGTTTCCAGACTAAATTAAAATAATCAAGTCATTTTTTGTGTGTTATCCGAGCTGTTTACCTGAGCTGCATGCCAATATTGAGGTTGTGAAGGAAGTTCCCTCCAAACGCCATGCAATCCTGAGAGGTGAGAACCGCATGGATCCAGCCTGTAGGGGGCACCAGAGTACTGATGTTGACACAACTCGCCCACAGACCGACTCACCACAACTTAAAGAGAAGACGGCTAAACTGACACCTCAATAGTGGGCACTTGATCACATACGTACTCATGAGTGATCTGCATGAATATATGTAGATATTTACAGCATGTAAATGCCTGACTGTGCACTAAAGACCCATATGTGTACACACAAAAAAAAAAAAAAAACTTCTTACAAAAAAAGATAAGGTTGTCTATTGCAATGATGTGCTCCCACTCAGATAAACAGTGGTCCTTACACAACACAAAGTGAGAGAAAGCAGAGTCTGGGGGTGGGTGTAAGGCTGATAGACAGGCCTGATAATGCACCGGTTGACTGACCTACTGTGCTCTCTGACCCCCACTTAATTCCCACCTCTCCACACCCTCTCTGCCCAAAAGCACTCTTTTAAAATGCTGCTTGAGCCTGCTGAGAAAGCACGACTGGAAGAATGATTGAGGACATCCAGCCGTTGATGGGCTGAACGGAGCTTTGTCTGTCCGGCTGCACGGGGAGAGCATAGGAACTCCGTCGGCTTAAAGAAGTCCATTGAGAGACTGATGGATGGATAATAGTATGACTGGAGACATTAGCTTCACAAAGCATGTCATATTCACTTCGTGACACGAAACACAAACATCTTTTTAGTCTCGAAACGCAACTTCTAATTACCGACAGCAGCACTGCTAGTTAAAGGAATGTAAGAAGGAAAGCTGTGATCTACAGCGCCACCGCTTCTTTCATCATGTTACAGAAGAGCACTGGTTTCTCTTTATTTTTCCATTGAAATTATGATCATTAAGAACTGTTTGGGTTGTTGCTCAAGGAAGACATTCCTTCTCTGTTATTTTCCCTTGGCAATGATAGAGGACCTTGCAGAAGCCTGTATTTTCCTGGCAAGAGCCATGGGAAGCCTGATTATTTTTGACTTTTGAATGCACGTGAAAAGACAAACAAATCCCTACAACCTGTCAGCCGGGTTGGTGCAGACGGGATAGTCCTGCAACCACTACGATGATACGACATTCGTGACACATGTCCGAGTGTCTGACAGTTGTTGAGCTTGTAAATCACAAAGTAGGAGATCATCCAAGAAGACTAAGGGTGACCAACGCCATGATTCTGTGACGGTAGATTTGTGGTTTTATCATGAATTCAAATCATTTGGAAACACTTATGTGCATCAGGACTTTTCTCTAATTGATCAGACAGTCAAAAGCAGTGATATCTGCAGTGAGTTGAGCTTGTATCCTACTCTGTGTACTTTGGCAGCTCATTTGAGTCCAATAAAAAGTTAACAACATAGCAATACAACAGTAAACCCGCACAATACAATCCAGGCACCTCACTAATACACAACCAAACCTCCCATTCTTAAAAACAATCATTGAAAAGCCTGTTTTTCAGCACCTGAACCCCTTCTTGGCTTAAACAATCGTTGTGATGTTTTACAGTCAGGACTTCAACCACAGCACAGAGACGGCTCTTGTTTGAGGACATCCATTTGTACAAATGTCAGCACTGGAGCTCTTTCGGCTCTGATGATCAACAGTCACACAAAAACACTTTACACGAGCATAAACATCACCACAGACCTGTCGGGATGAGCAGGGTGGTTCCTCGGGGCACGACACACTTGTAGCACTTTTCCACTTTGTCCCCAAAGAACACTTCACTCTGATTGGGCGAGGAGCTCCATGCCTCATATAGTGCAAGGTTGGCGGGAGTGGGCTTGATCAAGTAGAAGATCTTCTCACCCTGCAGAGCAGATGAAGAGGAGTTAGATAGTCGGCACACTTTAAGGACACTTTGAGAGTGCGTGTCTTTGAGCATCGCAGCCGTGGTGACACTCACCCAGAGAACATGGTACCAGACAGAAGTGCCTCCGAAGTCTATGTGGAAATCTGTGTAGCTGTCCTTGACCCCCATAAGGCAGTACTTCTGGACAAAGGGCTTGGGGAAGAAGGAGTCGTCGGGCCAGTAGTTCTCTACCCAGGACATCTTCTGAGCCACGTCAGGAACCTCCACCAACTCAGACATCCTTAGTGGCAGAAACAACAAATGGTAGGTTACACTTTGAGAAAGTTGGTTGTCTTAATATTCTACAAACTAACATGTTTGACGTTAGAAAAAAAAAAAATATTCAAACAAAATCGATAAAGCCTCAACATAACCTGCTAACAATGTTAATTTGCCGCACAGCCAAAGCTAGTTTATATAAGCACGTTCTAAACTGTGACATGACTGTCAGTGTTTATTAGGAAAATGTGTTTACTGGAACTCTTACTTGGTGTCAGAGAACTCCAGGCTGATGAGGTTGAGGACCTTCGGTCGATGCGGGTTGGTGTAATACTTGATAAACTCGCTGAGCTTCATCTTGCTGTCTGCCTGCCGTGCCACGTCTATCACATCGATGACTTTGTCGCCACCTAGATAGGAGATAGGTACCATTTAGTGCACATGATATATGGAGAAAGTACAGTAGTCAGTGACTCCTGAGGGGAAAAACATCTTCAACTTTTTAAAATTGGCTGCCGAGTGGGCGTGGGGTTCACTGGGGTCAGCAGCCTGCTGGCATCTCCGTGTGCTTTTAGAGATCAAGCCCTGAGGAAAACTGGCACCAATATGGCAGCACGGGGAGGGGTTGCACAGGGAGGCAAGCGAGACAATCTGTCCGGACCATCGGTCCCCGAGGAGGAGTGGGTGGAGGTGAGAGGGCTGCTGTGTTCAAAGCATATATACGTGCGTGGGAGACCTCGAGCATAGAGGTAAAGACGCGTCTAGATGTGAGAAAGAGCGTGTGTGCATAGGCTTTATGTGGTGTATTTAAGAGACAGACAACAGCTGCTTAAAAAAGGGAAAAAGAAGCTGAACGCAGCTAACAGTCGGAACGCTACAAATCACACTCTGGTGACACATGGGGCCGGAAGTAGGACCGGGGTGCAGTGTGTGTGTAGCGAGACAGCTGCTTGTTGTATTTCACCCACACCCCTCCCACTCACCTTTTTTTATTTTTTTTTTATTACCCCTTCGCCTGTTCTTCCCCCCCCTCACACACACACTTGCACTCACATGCACCTCTGAAGGCCCAGCTGGCCAGCATCTGATGACAGAGAACAGCTGGAGTGAGACAAAGCTGCCTGGAAACCACACAACGCCAAGCTCACAACACCAGCTCCACAAACCCACCAGCAAGACAAATACCACAAACAACACAGCTCGAGACACACAGTAACGTTAAAGAGCTCATTAATTAAGGTAATCGTTGGAAATATGTCTTTGTCAACATGCTTGAGCTAGAAACTCATTCTTATTGCTTCCATTTAAAAGCAATTTAAGGTCATACATTTGGTATTAATCATCAATTTATACTGCAGTTTTCAGGTCTTTACTATCAATATAGCAGTGCACAGTTTATTATTGTTATTATCAAATATTGAAGGCGCATTAGTTTTCTTTCTATATATTTTGTATAATAAACATGTTATATCACAGTCCCATCTGTGACCTCAGCACTGCGTAATTCATCCACAAAGCGTTTCCGAGTCTAAGCTTATGGGAAAAAGTCAAAATGCTGTTTCTCAAGCGTTACCCAGCAGCATCTTCAAAGGTAGTTTTGTGATCCCCCAGATGTGTACTGTCTGCCTGGAATGATAAAGTATCTGCCTGGAGTCAAACCGATGCTTACATCCAGTATTTCTACAGAGAAACTCTTCATCAGCGGAAGTATGTTAAGTCAGCGGCAAAGACATTTGATCGTTGTGGGTCGACATCTGTAAAATCAATAAAGTACCGTAAAACATAGAACTTGCTGTTGTAATGTAGAAAAAAGTTTTTTCCCCCACTTTACCTGCTGTGGTTTATGTAGGGAATGCTATTTGACCGAATCACAGCGTACTTATAGCCTCACTTACATATTTAACTTGCTATATTGTGTCATGTTACTGTATGTTTATCTTATAAAATTTTATTTTTTATATATATATATATATATATATATATACATATATATATATATATACACACACACACAAAGTTCTCCGGCCGTCTGAGTTACATAGTTTGTGTCTAAACCAGCATGTCCCAAACTTGACATCTTTTCACGATAACGTTTGTATTTAACCCTTCTGGGATCAATCAAAGTTGAGTCCATCATTAAGACTTCCACTGATCGCTCATTGATGCTCTGCTACTCGGCCCGATCATTAGCTCATTGACTATGTTGACTACACAACCGTTTAGAGACCCTAGAAGACACACAGAAGACACCAGCGTTCACTCACATTGTCCCATTATCTCCAAACTGTAAGAAATGTAACCCGACACCCGGTCCCTGCTCACAACACCTGTGCCTTGGCTTAATGCTCAATAGGGCATGGGAGAGAGAGATACAGTGAGACGGGGAGTCTGTAATCTGAACTTAATGATAAAAACACCAGCGGGCTTGTTAATGGGCTTGTAATAGGAGCCGGGAAGTGGCAGGACGCTTCGACAAGGAAGCGTAGTGTCAGAGAGAGGGTAGTGAAAGCTTAGCCATCACTCATTTAGAACTCATTCAGCCATCGCCTGATGCCCGATAAGTGGGTTAAAACCCCATGAACCTAGAAACCTGTTCTTATTGACACACAGATGGCGCCTGCTCAGCGATGGCCACTTAGCAGGATGGCGTTAGGTGGTTTCATTAGCTTTTAAGCAGACCGAGGCTACCGTGCTTTCCCACATCCGTCCACGAAGGACAACCACGGGTTCTTTATGAAGTGTCCTTACCCACGTACTGCTCCACGTCTTTGACAGAGAATGTCGGGACTGGTAGTTTCAGTCCCAGGCCCTCCATCTCCGTGACCACGATGGGGTAGCTGAAGCCGTGTCTCTCCAGGTACCTGGTTGTCACATGCTCCCCTTTCATCTGCATCATGATCTCCTCACCACTGAAAACAAGATCATAACAAGTTCAGTAAACGCAGTCAGTTGTATCTTCAGAGCCTCCACATGTAGGTTCCATTTCTACACTGCAGGCTACACCGCCTCCTCAAACACGTAGCTACACGTTACAGTTTCACAGCGACTACGAAGACACAATGTGGAGACTGCAAGAACTGTGATGTGATCCATCTTTTGCCCTTAACGTCATGAGCTTCAAGTGTTAAACCAGCTCTATCAGCTCATTATCTAGTTCAACAGATGGGAAACGAAGCATAACCCCTGGTGGTTGACAGGTCAAGTGATTTACAAGTATTACATGTGTCTAGATTGATATCTACCTGGCGAAGGTCCTGTTCTGGAGCTCCTTGACGAACACCGAGGTGCCAGCCTGCACCGGCTTCGATCCATCGTTTGGCTCCGTGTAGTCGTGCCTGTGGCCGTTGTTGCGCTTTTTCACTGCAACAAACAAGAGACATCCGAGGTTCACGGAGGTTGTTTCATGCTAATTTCATTATGCAGTTGCCCTGTTGAAGCTTGTTCTTTCAATAAAAGTTGTAAGTTACGTCATCCGCCATTTTTTGTAAAGGACATTAATTCACTACTCAGAGATGGGGCTGGAGGGGCTTGTCCAATCGAAGTGGAGGGCTTACAACACCATTCAATTAGCCTGTTAATGTCTGCCCTCTGGGCTGTCTGAGATTGACCCATCCCCCACCCAAACTTGAGTCACACTGCAGAGCGTCTCTTCTCCCCCCGTGACCAGTCAAACTTACAAAGACAGGGGTGGGAGGGGAAAACTGAATGGAATCAGAGGGCAGTTTTGATGAATGGGTTACAGGTTAGGGCTGAGGTAAGAAAACAGAAAAAGATCACACAACAACACAAGAATGACAAATAGCAGTACTCACTCAGGGAGGGTCCGAGTACAACATCACAGTTGGGACAGTGGTAAACATCGATATCCACGGCATGATGCTCTTCTACCTGCACACAGCTGGAGATGGACAGGAGACGCAGTTAGAACAAGTTCATGCAACAAGTTCAAACACGATTCACGATCTACCCCACAAGCCTATCACATAGAATATATTTCAACTGCAGCATAGCTTCCTTGGTGTCAAAACTCCTGCCCATAAAACATGATTTGGAGTGTTGACCAACACTGTGGGGACCATTGATTTATTGTATCTGAACAGGACAAGTTGCCATACAAGTTTATGCCAAACTGTCAAACATCGTGTGTGTGTTACCAGAGGAGATGTCAGGGGTCATAGTTTCAGGATAAACAAACTCTGAGATTGTACTGTTTGGGTGTGGAAAATAACCTTCACTCTGATCAATTTTCCAAACAAATGTTCTACAACTGCAGCCTCACTGGAGACGGGAGCAGGAAACCTGAAGCACATTTCAAAGCCTTTGAACAACAACAATCATGCAACGGCACTAGCATGGTGCAGGCCCTGGTTTAATGCAGTCATAAAAATCTCAATTACATGCATTTTCAAAATCCCTCAGCAGCTACCAGGCTTGCAGTAACCATCTTGGAATAAACGTGAACACACCCAAGTTGGATTAATGGGAGGTTCACCCCGTTCTTCCGTCATTATGTGGCCACAGATTTGGGTCAAACCCTTGGCTGAGCATCAACTGCTTGCACGGATAGTGAGGTTTGTTGTGGCTCTGCGTTTTTTCTCTCCCATGAATCTGCAACAGCGTCACTAATACTGCTACCCCCGACTATCCCGCAGCAGCCAAACCACAGGCACCAACACACATGGAATTCCTCTGTCGCATACCAGAGCCCCATACCAGAGCAACAGCAACCAAGTTGCCATTCAGCCTGAATGGACACCAGGGGCTATTTTGAGTTAGAAAAACTGCATGTTTGTGTGACTCGAGCATGTGCACAGGTGACTTTTATGGTTAAGTGATGTGAAGGAGAGGTCACACACACAAAGGACCCTCTGTGCTTAACAGGCCACCATAATGCTTGTCATTTTACTGATGAAAATTAATAAAACGTGTTCTACGGGATCATAGTGTATGTCCCCACATGACCTGGAGATAGACATTTCTCATGCTCTTCATGGACGTGTGTTTACTTGCTCAGACACTTATTGGTGTGTTCATATCCATGCACAAACAACACAATAAAAACGTTGGATGTTTGGATGGACTACATGTAGTTTAGAAAATCTGATTAGAAGCAAGTTAAGAGCATCCAGTGCATTCACACTGGTTAGTTACTACTAGCACAATCAGACCAAGCTACCGTCCTAATCTGACATTATATTTTTAATTATTTCACTTCCACTGCTTGATTTTAACTCGGCTAATTAAGAAACATGACGCTAAGCACCATTAGCACTGCGATGGCTAACCCTAAGAAGTAAACAAACCATATGCAGCCATAACAAAACTGCAAGCACACGGACATGAAAGTTAAAATGTGTCATCTTCAAACCATCTTCAAGCCAGTGAAGCTTCAGTTTGAGAGCTAGCATAGTGGCATAGGTTGTAAATGATTGATTTGTGGTGGATATATTGTCTGTTTTGGAAAGGTGAACGCCTGCAGGAGGGACAGAGCAGACACCAGCCTTCCATCCGCTTTGATCTACAAGAAATTGCAGGAAATTGTGTAAAAGGAAATAAAGCCGAGGGGCCATTAACTCATCAGGAAGTGGTGAGATTGTGTGAATGCTGGCCCCAGTCACCCCGGTGCACTAACAGGATATCAACAGTAGCTGCCACGCTCCATTTTACCACATGCAACCTGCTGCTGTTATTGGCTGCACTGCAAAAACTGTGTTTGTCATGCTGACAATTATATATAATTATATATATTGTATTTGTCATTAAGTGGGCTTTTAAGTTGGATTTTTCACAAGTTATTTCTTGCCTCCAACATCCATAGAAAGAAAAGTAGGAAATGGCAAAAAGTACTGCTGCTCCTGCACGTGAGCAAGCGGATGACCAACAATAACAGTGCTTGGCTGCAGTGTTAAGCCTCGCTCATGTACCAGGAATCTTGGTTCACATGTCGCCGTTCGCTGGAGGAACGCATGAGTCACAGATCGCTGCCTCCGGCCCACGTCGGGCTCAGCCGAGGTGACCTCGTTGTCCTCATCTCACTCGGTACTTTCCTTTATGTAATACCACAGTGGGAAATCAGGGCACTGTGCCACATACAATGGCTTGACTCAGCTAATGTGTCAACCTGTAATGATTAATGCATAACAAGGCGCTGAAGCTGGTGAAACTGTGTGGACCTGGAGATAGAGAAGGTAAAAAGAGGGGGGAGGAAACTCAACTGAAAGGGGAAAGAGGGCCAAGTATTTCCTGCCTTGCTCAGGCTTGATGATGTATTGCATCACTGCGAAGTGTGCAAACAGTTCTTGCGCCAACGTGAACCTCATTCCTCAGTTACTCGGAAAGCAATCGTGGCAAGGATCAGATTGGAGGCAACTGAACGTCTAAATCTTTAATGACATTGTCACATGTACTGTACGACAACAAGAGCACATTGTGGTCGAGGGTGACACAGAGTACAGTAGCCAATATGTCTCACAAAGATAAAAACCTCGCCAGACTGGAGACAGGAGGGTTATTCTGTTACGGGATTGCAGCAGATTACCAAGCAAAACATCCCTTCCTGAATAAGAGGAGATGTGTGTACTTGGCTAAACCCCTGCCAACAACAGCACCTCTCCCTCCACTTCCTCTCATCAAGGGCCTCCTTCCTGTGTGACTGAGAGGGCTTATTCATTAGTGCACGCACTGTGAGGGGTTCATTGTCCTGCATGATCAGTGCAGAAACACAAAAGCCTGGAGGCGGGCATCTCCATTATTTTCAGCTCTAAATAACCGCTCTACATGGGGCGGCAACACGCCTACATTAGGGAACTGGCAGATCCCTAATGGATGGGTGGTAGAGACAGAGATAGAGAGGAGATGAGGGCAGTTAAACACACCTGGCTTTCTTTATCTGCCCCAGAGGAGCACCTGACTCCTCCGGCTCTTTTCCAAATGCACTCAACCGGAGCTTACATAAACAGCGCTGGACTTGGATGGCAGCAAGAGCCACTGAGCCCTGACAGATGGATAGGGATCTGTCATTTTGGCTGTACTGGTTAAATCATTTCAGCTCGCTGTGCGTAAAAGTGACCCGACATCCCCGCAGTGGTTACAGCTTGAAAGAGACCTCTCTGTAGTCAGCTGGTAAACAACAAAAGAGGATCACTTTGTTGTTTATGGGGCGCCAGGGAGCCTCGGGGAGGTTTAACAACTTAATCGTTTTGGGTGCAGGTCAGAGTTGCGCTGAGGCTCTGAGCACTGAGGCTCTACTTTCACACATGTCTTCAACATGGTTGTCTTAAGGGCCTCAGTTCCCCAGTAAAACCTACAAAGTCATCAGTCTCTTGTGACTGTCTGCTGCTGCCGTCCACATTATATTTCAGACGGTTGTCACAGTTTTTCAACATGGCACAGAGAGATCCAAATCCACACCCAAACTAAGTTGAATGCCATCTATAAAGTGCTTACTATAATATCATAATTCAATCTGACTGCCAATCAATACACAAGGCTGTTGAGCCCCTAATCAACATTGATCAAGCTGGATGTAACGCGGTTTACCTCCCCCCAGAGTCAGCCTGGCTAATGAACGTAAACATAGCTTTTAACAGGAGCTGTGAGGCAGCTCTTTGATTAGTTAATTGGCCAAAATAGACATCTAAACAGATGATCTGAAACATTTCTTTCATGGACAACAGCGGTAAGAAAAGAAGAAGAATCCTTCCCCTCGTTCACCCATCCACTTAGCGTAAACACTAAAAAGGCACTCTGTAGAGGCTATCCATCTCTCTTTAGTGTGCTCACAATCTGTGCGACATTGACGGATCGTGCATTGAACTTGGCGAGCCGGAGCGCCCATCAATCACTCCCTCTGTCCCATTGAGCCCCGCTAGTCTATCATCACCCCCACCGTTTGTGCCTAAACCAGACGGGCCTGACTGGAGTGGCTGACACCTACACCGGGGTAAACCCTGTGATCCGACGTGACCCAGTGAGGGTTTCCAGCGAGCCAACATCCACAGTGTTGACGTAAATTGGCATCTTGGAAGCACTGGAAACAGTCCATTTACAAAAGCAGGCCTTGTAATTAGGTGAGGCTCTAAATGGTAAATACCAGGGTTCAAACTAACATTTGTAATCTAAACCATAGGCTCTGGTAGTGGGTTTCTGTCCCTAAAGGAGTACTTGAGGGCAATGGTACTCAACCTATGATGAATCTGGGTCGCAAGAGGATTGAGAGGATAGAATATAAAGTATATATATTCATGATTAATCTACACAAACTTTTTTTTTTTTTTTTTTTTTTTTTTTTAAAATCGTGGATAGTTTTATAGCTTCTAAAGATTAGAGGTAAATCAGTGTTTGGTTGACCAGTTTCATGATTCATCGACGTATCAAACCTGTGTCACATAAACTTGTATAACAATGTATCCCACTTTTAAATTGTACGTCATAAAAGTCTTATTTGTGGGTCCCTGATCGACCAGGGAAATGTATCTGTATATATTGTGAGTTAGGACTAGACTCAGGGGCCATGTGTTTCAATACAAGAGGCTACATATGCAAGCAATTAAAACCACCGTATCAACACGTGATCTCTTTGCTTTCCAGTTCACCTCACCAATCACTACTCTAACACAGATGAACCACAAAGTGTCGTTCTAACAATGCACACGTCCTCATCCGGTTAAAGTCTCAAGCTGTACTGTGTACCGAGACACAGATGATGTAAAACAGGCATCGAGACAAAGTCCCCCACACAAACACAGCGAGCAATCTGACAACCAGGCACCGGGAGGTTGAGCTTTCCACTCCATCGGCGTGCCATCGTCCACAGCCAGAGAATATCCCCTTCCTTCTGGCCAGCCTCGTGGGAAAGAGACAGGAAATGTGGCTGGTTTTGGAGCTGTGTGTGTGTGTGTTTGCTGATTAGTCATCAATGGGGGAAGCTCCAACATTTGTTCCTTTTCTTGTTGGCATATGACACACAGCCAGCCAGTCTTGATTCACCACAAATTCTGGCTGCCAAGTTTTTTGGCAGAGCACTTGATGTGGTTACGCAACGGCTTCCGTCATTCCAACACGAGCAAAAACAGATTATTGTATTCATAAACAGTTGCTGTGGAGATACGCCCACACAGGCTGATTCAAGGGACTGAAGAACGAGGTACGTTGACGGCATTGCAGCGTGAAAGTTAAACAACATCAGCTCTTTCTGGTTCTGGTCTGACACGTTATTTGACAACAATAATGTTCAATACAGTACAATAAAATCTTGTTATCTTCCTTCTCTCTCAATCAGAACAATTAACAGTCACCTAAGCAGGCTTCATAGTGCTCGATGGTGTTAAACCTGATCATTCAATTTAAATTACAATCAACTAGGTCACTGTCACCCCCAAACCAGTACAGAATGATCTTGACCCCACAGCGAAAGGGTGTTCATCACCATAACAGGTGTGGACTAGAACATGCGTAACTGTAATCTGACGTTGTATTATGCAATACATGCTCAGACACAAAAAAAAGGCATTATTACACAACAACAAAATACTCATGATTTCGACAACCACCGCCAACCCACCCACACACACACACAACATGAATCATAAAAGGTATCTGCAACACCACTGGTCCACTTATGTAGTAAGGATAGGACATTACAAAACAAGAAAATAGGACAAAACACGAGCATAAGCAGCCCAGGGACATGCGTCTGTCTGGTACCTTTAAATAGTCCCCCTGTTCACCACTAGGGGTCCCCTACCATGTGCCTCCTCTGCCTCAAAGGGGGATTTAAATTTCTCAAACTGTCAATCACAAAGCCCCGACCATAACAAGCTCCTTGTTCTCAACCGTGTGCTTTCTTAAAAGTAAACCACCAAAAACACATCAAAATAACAAAGAAAAAAAAGGTCAAACTGCATACACATCTCTAAATTGGTATATATTAAAATATAAAGTTAACCTGTCAGATATAACAATAACCTATAGATGTAGTCCAAACAAAATAGAAGTTGTTTGGGGAATGTAGCTCATGTAAATTAGGTTTTAAGTAACGTTACATTTGAGATGTGTGTGGCTGCCATTACCTCGAGTGACCTATCGTTAACTTAAGCCAGTTTGCGATTTATAAGCCACAAACTGGTTCAACGTTAACTGGATTGTAATCCGCTAAAATCAACATTAAACATCTGAAGTGATTACAAAGATGTGGTAAACATGCAGCCTTTCTATGTCACGATGACTGACACCGCTCTCCTGATAGATCGGCATACTAGTAGATAAAAACTATTTTCTATGGGCTCTATTTGCGTCAATAACGTTTATTATCAACATAATTACATACACTATATACACGCCATGCGTTTGTAGTCTAATTGGCAGGAAAACCGACTAACTTCAAGCCGATTTCAGAGAGAGAAACCTTACTTTCTTTCTCAAAAGTCGTGTCAATAGACGGTTTAAAACCCACCGCTAGCGTTAGCATGCTAAGTTAGCTTCCAGTCAACACCGCTCGGAGAACCGTCGCCTTTCTTCAATAAACTCTCCGTGTTTGTCGCTTCTAACGAGCCGCGTACCTTAAAGGCATTATAACCCACGTACCTGCCGTGGAACCAGTCTTTACAGATGTCGCACTCGATCATAAACCGGCTAACATCGTAGGGCTGCCGGCAGACACAGTACAGCGGGGCCGCCGCCATCTTCCTTCTGTCCCCAAACAACGCAGGAATGAAGCGGGGCGGGGCTTTAACCCACGGTCCGGAAACAACCCGAGTTTACCCGAGTGGGCACGAGGTCCTCCATTCTAGGCGATCCCACGTCTGACGTCAGTTTCCAAATTATTCATTTCCATTTGGTTGTGTGGGCACACCAACAATAGACACAAACTTTTTTTTTTACCAACAAAGGAATGACATAATTATACTGTTTTGGGAATTTTGTCAATGTTACAATCTGAGATTTATGTTCAACAAAATCGGATTTTTTTAGACTAAGTAAAGGAAAATGGTGAGCCTGTTTCACTATATTGTTCATAGTAGCCTATATTATTATTTAAATTAGCATTGTGTTAAATATATTTCTAGAAAGTTACTTTTTATACATTTTAGTGGATGTATTAATTTAACCATAACTAACGCAGGAGGACCCTCCAGGAACTTTATCTTAAATTGTAACACCCAACATCTTCATACAAAATAGGCCAATATGACTAATATGCATGAATGGATATGGATTGATGCACAGGCATTTAAAAGCAATTGACTTATCTGGTTAAATATAGGTAAATCACAATAATAATAATAATAATACAATTTTACGAGGCCATTAAAAGCAATGTCTTAAATATTGACATTTTAACTCAATATTGCTGTGACTTCAATCAAGGAGATGAACAAAAATACATCATAGGATATGTTGTTAGGCCATGTGCAAAAAATATTTTAGCTGACTGAAACTACAGCGTCAAGTACATTCTTCCAAATGTGCAGCATCAGCATTTAACTCATCAGTAACCTAAAAGAGCAGCTGATGTGATGCAAAGAAAAAAAAAATAAGCACAATTGTGTCACCCAATCCAAAACTGCTCCATCGGCAGGATATTTGCACAGTTGCAGAGTTTGCCTTCGTTGTGTTCTCACACCTCTCATCAACAAAGAGCGAGTCCCTCTGATAATATTCCTAAGCTATGGCAGACATAACGGAATAGCATTACCAAAACACAATATCCACCCCTGGTATGTCTCCATGGAGCGTGTCTGACATGCCCTACGTGCTTGTGTGGTGAATAGCAATGGGACCACCGACCCACAGCTTGATCTGTGAGCTGACAGCACCCATCCCCCAACACGCCCATCTGTGCTGCTCTGCATAGGCAAGCAGGCCTGGTGCATGCAGAGACGCATGTGCACTCGCTGCACAGAAGACACATGTGATTCAACCATTTCATCTGCAGATCTGAATTGTTTTTTTGATTTTTTCTTTGGTGCATTCTCAGCCTGCACCAAGATGTAAACATCTCCTCCTTTGTCCTCAGGGGGATAATACCGTTGCAGCATGCACCAGTTGGTCGTAGTAGATCATTATCACAATAGGGTTTTTCTCTCTCATCAGTGCGAGCAGTGCAACTTCATGTCTGGTGTGCAGATCCACCACATGTCTGTAAACACTCCTCCTGGAAGTTAATTATCCCTCGTAAGTGGAGGTCAGTGCCTCTTAAGGTGTGTTAGTGTGACTGCTGATGAATGGACAAAGTCAACTTCTCCAGTTATCAGTGCTTTACTACCACTAGTACTACATTATTTGATTGTTTTATGAACCAATGTCATAAAATATAATACCACGTTGCACCCGACAAAGTGTAATACATATAAAACTACATGTCAAAATATGGAAAGTGAAACTAATCTGTAAATCATCTGAACAAAACGTTGCTACGGTTGTTTTGGGTTTCTCTTCAACCAAAGACTATAAATATACATCTTGAAAAGTAAAAAACAAACCCCCTTCTTGTCTGCCTTTATTCATACTAATCAGTAAAGTTGTTTCAAAACTGAGCTGCTAACCAAAACCATCTGACTGCATTAAATAAAATGCAAATTTGAAATTCTAAATTGTCCCAAAGCATGATCATTTTAACATATGCTACACATCAGACACTATAAACAAGTCGAGATTAGACCAGTGAAAAGTTAAATAAAAAGTCTACTGTAATTTTGTTTGACATAAAAGATAATGAGATAATGCAAACTTTTCTAAATTTAAAGTGTTTTGATCAGATATTGGCAAGTTTGTGATGGAAGAAGTATTCAGCTCTGAGCAATACTACAGTGTAAAAATACTCTGTACAACTAAAAGTCCTGCATTAAAAACAAAGAACTAAAAAAGTATAAGCACAAACATAGAGGCCTATATATACTATACATGCAGTGCAGTGTAGATTAGCAGGAAAGTACAAGTATTTTAAAATTGTTTGAGTAAATGTACTTCGTTACATTCCACCACTGGCTAAATCTCAGAAATCATTGCTATAGAAGTTAGTATTTTTTTTCATATATTAGGATAATTTTAGATTGTAATTAAATAAGTTTTATTCATGCATTGTAATATGATTGTGTATGGAATATAGTTTGAACCCTATAGATTGACTATTATTCCAGTGTTAAGGCGCCACCTCCTGACAGAATATCGACACTGCTCTGTGCGCGTTCACGTCGCACGCCACGCGCTGGCTGACGTTTACCCAAACAAGGAAGACGCGAGACCGCCCCCTTGCATGGATGTGTCATGGTGCACTAACATTAAGATATCATTGAATAACTTATTGAGTTATGGCGTCCAGGGATCCTGTACCGCGATTTAACATCTAACCAGATGATAAAAGAGGTAAGATGAATTATAAATAAATGGTGTTGGAGGAGCTGTGCAGCTGTATTGAAACGGTTTACAGTTAGTAGATCTCTTCGCTTCATAAAACATCTCTGCTGTTATATAATACTCTGTAGGACTTTGCAGAATATCCATCCCAATATTGACTGTATAGAAACATTAACATCTGTTCGCTGCAGTATTGCAGTGCTTATAGCGATGTAAAGTGTATTAGTATGTTATATGAGCATGTGTTGTGGTGTTTGTGTTGAGTGCATGAAATATTCTGCTGATCAAACAATAATTGCTCGGTTGTTTATTTTTATTTTTTTTTTATTCAATGGTTTATTAAAATCATTCGTGTGACATCGGTGCAATTTTAATAATACAATTTTATTTGATTATCACGTGTTTTAATGAACAAAAACATAAAGTTAAAATAATATTAATAAAACAGAGAAGATTAAATATTATTTTCAAAAAACATTTTGAATAGAATTGTATTACTATTTTATTTTAAGACGTTTAAACAGACTACGTTTTGACTGAAGACTTGTCTTAATAGGTCTTTAGATTGTATCATTTTATTGCTGATGAATATAAAACAAATATGTATTGAAAAAGAAAAAAGGGTAATACGTCAATAGGAAGCATTTGGTAATAAATCAGGAAAGCTACTAATGAAGAGTGTGTTTTAAGATGTTCTGCATGTGTAACAAGCCTCACAGTGTTACTGTACATTTAACAGTCACATGGTGGTATTAGCATGATATGAATGTGTTCCCCCTTTGGTAAAGTGTACATTTGCATCCTTAATAAAACCATTACAAAGCCAGAGGCTGCAGACTGGGGTTCTGAATGTAACACTAATGGATACACTGCGTTTTATTTGTGACGGAGGAGGTGGAGAGCAGCCCTGAACCTGAAGATGAGGCGGCTGTCACGAAGAAAAGTCCTGAGCTTGGTGAGGGAGCTGGACGCCTTCCCCAAAGTCTCAGACAGCTACGTGGAGACCTCGGCCTCAGGAGGAACAGGTGGGTCACTCCTCTGAAGACAAAAAGACGACTATACGGTAAAGATATCAGAACGGTAACCAATCTGTCTGTCACATCCACAGTATCGCTGATTGCTTTCGGTGCCATGGCACTTCTGGCTGTCTTAGAGTTCTTTGTTTATAGAGACACTTGGATGAAGTATGAATATGAAGTTGACAAGGATTTTTCAAGGTACTAATCAAACGAAACATTCCCAAAACAAAGTTGCTCATATTTACGTAGTACATATTTATGGCAGGAAATGACTGTCGAACAGATATTATTAACCCTCTTCTTTTTTGTCATTTGCAGTAAATTGAGGATAAACATTGACATTACAGTTGCCATGAAATGCCAGCGTGAGTATCTCACGTGGATGAATTGCTCATCAAATTGCATTACAGATGTAAATATGTGTCAGCTGCCTGCATGCATATTATGTCTGTGATTGCAGACGTTGGAGCAGATATTCTGGACCTGACTGAGACCATGATCACATCCAGCGGCCTCCTGTACGAACCTGTGAGTGAAGCATGATGTCATGTTTAATTTAGCACCAGAGTCATTTTCTTTCCAGCTTTTAAAGGTGTTGCTTTTCACAACTGCATCTCTTCTCTTTGTATGTTTTTTTCAGGTGATTTTTGAACTGACTCCACAACAGAGACTGTGGCAAAGGTGAGCTGTCATGAAATCATGAAGGGAGATATTGAAACAACAGGATGTCTGCAAGTCTTGTAGTGTCTAAATATGCTATCTAAATTGAAGGCTGCAGTGTCGATAAATATAGTATTTTGTATCTAAAATTCAGTTTAAAATGTTGCAGGATATGAAACCATATTCATACTATTCTCCCTCTTAACAGCTACTTTCATTTCCCTTTTTTGTGTGATTAAGTTGAAGTTTGCATTCTAATTGTCATTTAAAGTCCTTAAAGGGATAGTTCCGATATTTTGAAGTGGGTTTGTATGATTACTTATTACATATATTCGCCACCTAAAAAAATCTGTTTAAGTGCACGCTATACTTTGAATACCTTCACCGCTTTACCTTGCCATCAGACAGCCCTTTCCGTCGGGGAATTGAAGCCGTTATCTATGCTCATACACACAAGACTCCTTTTACAAAAACTGGGTACATACCGGTCACCATGTACTGCAGGTAATACACTGAATATGGATAAGTATGCAACCCCACTTCAAAAAATCTGAACTATCCCTTTAAAAGTGTAGCTTATTTGAGGTGATACAACTCGCAGGCACACTGAAAAATAAAGCTGAAACTTCAGATTTTAAAATGATGTAGAAAAAAAGAGTAGTTGCATTTCTACAGTCAAGATGTAGTTTAAGTGTAGCCTTGTCTTGCATGCTGCCAACTTTTCTTTTTTCATCCCGAGGACGTTGCTTCTCATACAGAACAGGCTGAGAGAGGAACATGCCCTTCAGGAAGTCCTTTACAAAACTCCCGTCAAAGGAGGTCCCACTGCTCTGCCCCCACGGTCAGTTACATTACATGTGTTCAGTTCTTTATTAATCTTACAAAAGGCTAACAGAGTTTTATTCTCTACACAGAGTCAGGTTTTATTTTCTGCAGATATTATGCAGCCTGTAAAATGATGTGCTTAATGATTGTGTGTGTGTGTGTGTGTGTAGGGAGGGCGTCTCTTTGGATCCGCTCAATGCTTGCAGGATACACGGGCACGTCTACGTCAACAAAGTGGCAGGAAACTTGCACATCACTGTGGGAAAGTAAGAAACCAGAGGAATTGTCAAAAAGGTGCTGGCAGATATAACTGGAGGTCGTTCAGGAATCTCTTACCACGGCCCATAGAGCTGTTGTTGACTCCAGTCCTCTTATACCTCTTTTGTCTTTTCCAGGCCCATCCACCATCCTCAGGGTCATGCCCACATTGCAGCTTTTGTGAGCCACGAGAGTACGTAACAGTTTTTGTAATTATGCTTGCATATGTTTTCTTTGGCTTGTTTAAAAGTAGTGTTTTAATATTCTGCTCATGGTGCACAAAGAAAAAACTATGATTGCCAAATTTAAAAAAAGTGACGACAGACATCTTCCTCAGGGCATTTACTGAATCTCAAAGCCGATTTTTACATCAATGATACTATTAAATGTTGCATTTTTACATATATATTATAAATCCCTCTCAGTTTTCTATTTCATACATTTTTTACCACTGATCTGTAAACAAAGCAAGTGCAGAGTACATTTGTCCAGGTTCCCCCAGAACTTGTTCAGTGATGCTCCACGGCCTTGATTGAACCTGAGCTCCCTCTCATCTTTGCATCACAGCGTACAACTTCTCCCATCGAATAGACCATTTATCTTTTGGGGAGGAGATACCGGGGGTCATCAATCCTCTGGACGGCACGGAGAAAATCACCTTTAACAGTAAGTTACTGCTGTGTTTCAAGAGAACGGAGAGGATAAAACAGACTTTTACGAAATCACGAGTTGACTCAAACTGTCCTTAGCTCACCTTTGATGATCACAGCGAACTAAATATAACTGGAAAGAGGTCCGCTATGGGTTGGTTAGTTGCATTGTTAGTTTCTTCGGTATAGTTTTCCTTCTTTAAATTGATGTTACATTTTTAACACATTATTCGGTTTTATTACAGATAACCAGATGTTCCAGTACTTCATCACAGTGGTTCCAACCAGACTGAACACATACAAGATATCTGCAGACACTCACCAGTTTTCTGTGACTGAGCGGGTGAGTGAAAAGTAATTAGCGGCCCAAGAGGAGGGATGGACGGAGGATGGCGCCTTTCAGAGAAACCTGGGATAACACTAACCACCACGCTGTCTGTTTGCAAGGAGCGGGTGATAAACCATGCAGCGGGCAGTCACGGCGTTTCAGGCATCTTTGTCAAGTACGACACCAGCTCTCTGATGGTGACGGTCAGCGAGCAGCATATGCCACTGTGGCAGTTCCTGGTGCGACTTTGCGGCATTATCGGGGGTATATTCTCCACGACAGGCAAGTCTGGTTTTCACCTGCAATCACAATTATTTATTTCTTATTTTAACAGGGACAGTGCAGATTAACACGGACACATAGGAAGACAAAACATAAGTAATGTATATGGGGCTTCTGGACTTTTAAATTCAAAGTCCATTCTTAAAATGTGATTTCTTAAATGTGTGAATTCATCTATTTATCACCATGTGTTTCTCTCTTAAAGGCATGCTCCATGGGCTTGTTGGCTTCTGTTTTGATGTTATCTGCTTTCGCCTCAAACTTGGAATCTACCGGCCCAGAGAGGTGAGTCTTGAACCCACAGTCTATGGTCTTTATATCCAAAATCCAAGTTTCCTTTTCCTCAATAAACAGGCCGTCTCCATAAAATCCGAAGGAATTGTTTCTTTCTCTATGTAAACTCAACCATTAAGCAGATCTAATAGGCTTACCTGTACTGGATCTATTCTAGGATGTGCAGCTACACAACCAGATGAACAATCTCAACAATCATCAGACTCCTTTGTTGGCCGACGATGTCCCTCAGGAGTAGTGTTTTTTCAGGCTTTTGTCCATCGTCAAACGTCACCGGTTTGTTAAATTGTGTTTTTCTACTGAGAAAGGTGAAGCTGTGGTGTCTACTTGAAAAATAGCTCATTGTGCTACTACTACATTATACTACTACAAATGCAGGTATACTTGTGTTTATTTCATATAATACATTATTTCCTTTCTGTGATGGTGTTTGTTACTTTAGACATAATAGCACATTATACGGATTGTTTGGTTGTCATTTTGACTCCAATAAAATTTAAAGATCCACAAATTTAAAAAAATACCAGTGAGTTTTTTTCCCCAAAGCATTGATGTGTGGAAAACATTTAAATCTTCTTTGAAGTCATAAAAAGATGGGAATGGTCCTCAAATACTTGTCATACTCATCTTCTGGCCTTAAGTGGAAATCCTTTTAATCCAATGTTTAAGAGGGGGATCGTTGTGTTGCTAATAACTTGTGTTTTAGGTGTAGCATGTGAGGTTGTTGGTAAATTAACAAGCGTATAAATAGTTAGCTTAAGAGTTAGACAATAAGATAATCTGAAGCCTAAAGACAGCTCAAGAGAATAAAATTTAGACTATACAGTTGAAAATTACAATAAAACTCTGGCTCTGCCTCAAGGTTTAAAGGGTACTCGAGTGATTTAGTATTGTACTGACTAAATATATAAATAAATAAAGGCAGCAGAGACCAAAACATCATAACTTTTAGTCCCTAGTATAATTACATGGTGAGGTAGAAGTTTCATGGACTGCAGCACACTTTTTCTCCTCTAGTTTATTTCAGTTTTCTCAAGCAGACTTTGAATAGAGTGCTGTCATATCAGGTCATGAAGGTGGTCAAACAGTTTGTAAATGACACCAGAAAGCACAAGTTGAAGTCATTGTTTACGGGTTGCTGTAGTTTGTTACGTACAGTAACAGTAGCTCCAGCCTGGGGTTTTACTGTGCCAATGGTGCTCTGCAGCACTTTGTTGTGAAACAAACACACATGAGCAAAACAATTTAAACGACACCACAACAATAACTGACAAAACCACTTCATCGTACAGGCCTCGTACAACTGCAGACATTTTGGTTCATTATCCCCCTCTAAAATTAGGAGGACGGTTACCACGATTACACCACAAATATGGGCTTTGCATGAACATTTATTTAGTTCCGTCCCTTTTTCTCCCGTATAGGCTCGTAACTGTTATGTATTTGTATTCTTTCAAGAGTCAAGCCACAGACAATACTGTACACGGTTTTCTCATTTGTTTAGTAAAAATCAGACTTGCCTGTCACACTTAACACTTTTGGTAAACTCTGCGGGAAGCTCTGTGGTGGAATCCTGTGAAGACACTCACCAAGCAAAGATCAACAGTCAAATACAATTTGTGGTACTCTATAAGAATAATATGTAGTTCAACTATTTACAGATCTTCCAAACTGGGGTAAATGATTCAATACCAGGAGGGCTTTAAATCCCTCTTTTATAACCTAGCACTTTTGTGATTTAGGTCCAGACTAACATATAGGTCACAGTGTGTCTTGCTTCAAAATAGAAGTCCATTTCCCCATCAGGTAAGGTTTGGCAAACCTCAAGGCTCCGTACTTGGTCCACTACTTTTCACAATAGTCTTCCGTTCTGCAGAATCGTTTGCAGCTGCAACATGAATTTTCCCTCTGATGCAGATCACACTCGACTTAACATTGCAATAAATTCTTATGATTGCTCTATGCTCTGTCCTGTTTACTAGCTGTCAAAAGCAGTTTGAAATAGATTTTCTTACATATAGATGAATCTGAAATGCTTTTTTCCCCCCTATGGTTTACGACACAGTAGCCTTGATGCTTTGACTTCTTATTCACACTAGAGGTGATTTTCTTTCTTTCTCAGCCATATTTAACAAACCTTATGACCTCTTCAGTATCCAGAGGCCTGCCTCAAGAACTAAGATAAATCTTATGTCAGTAGTACCTTCATCTTCACATTTCTTTAAATACACAGTCTGTAGTCTGATAGCTCCATCCCTGCTGCTGTCACTCTTTGGAAGAGCTGCGTCTCCTCCTGCTCCAGTTTGTGCCTCATGTATTAGTACTATTGAGAGGCACAAACTGGGGCTCGGTCTCCTCCAGCTTTCAACTATTCAACTATATTGCCTGCTTTAAGCTTTGGTCCCCCAACCTCACGAACCGTAGACCTTAAATCTTGGATATTTGACATCACTAATATTGAATTGGACTTGGATTTACTACATTAGCATTGGACCTTTTAGAATCCCATTGTTGTATCTGGCGTGTCCAACGGCTACAACTTGATATAATTTGTACTTTTTCCCCACCAATGGCTCCTATTTCACCCCCAGCCAAATGCCTTTTGAGGTTCTGGGGGAGTTTGTCTTCTTAGAAAACGTGGGCTTGGTTGGGAGACATTGTACAGTATGTGATGCTGGGCTATACAAATAAACTTGACTCTGATGTTCTCTTATTTATATATAATACACTGCCAAGGTCTACCACATATATCAGACTAGCCTTTGACGCAAGTATAAATATGTAAAAGTAGTAAACTTAGTTCCAGTACAAACTGCTGTACAAACAGGCAAAAAGTGGATGAGCATTTAAACAAACAAGGTTTATGTTCAAAGAAATACTGAGATTATTGTTTGTGATATTAAACAAGTGACCAGCTCAATAGCAGGAAAGATGGCAGATCTGTATGTTTCCGTATATATAGTGATACTGTTATCTTGTGTGGTCAGAATTTAGCTTCAATACTCGTCTCAATCTGTGGATTGGCCTTGAGACAAAGTTAGTTTTGGGTGTAATCTTAAAAAGGCAGTAGATACACGTAATGTAAGACAAACAGATGCGTATTAAAGAGAGGAGTTGGATATCCCAACAGTAGAAAACAGAGAAACAAAATAATCTTATAGAAATCGTCCTCCAGTGAAGCACTGCCGTATTTCAAGTATGAAAAAAAAAAAGTCATCACAAGGCAAGGCAATGTACCGAGATTCAAGAGGATGGAAACGATGATGTGGAAAAGAAAATGGAGGTCAGACAAAAGGCTTTTCGTTGCATATATAATTGGCCACGCTGAGAAGAAAAAGGTAGGTACAAATGAACACTTTTTTTTGGACGGGGTCTAGTGACTGAACAGTGCAGGTAATGATGACAGATTTCAAAACTAAAACAAATAATTCATGGCTAGTAGACCTCCATTCCTCCCTCCGAGTGCTTCACACAACTGCAGTCTCCCACCTGTAGAGAGCCCACAGCTAATCCGCACATAAAGGAGGATTTAGAGTGTCCTTTGTGGACAGTCAGAGTCTCAGACGTTACATCCTGCTGACAGCTAAAGGCGAGGGCGGCTGTCTCTGGTTTGAGGCTTGGAGGAAGACTCAGTTGGTTATGGTGCTGGATGCGCGGAAGTAAGAGAGGAACTTGAAACAGAGGCTGACTACAAAGTACCAGATGTTTCTGGCCATCTGGGAGCGAGCGATAAACACCCTCCAGATGAAGACGACCAAAAGGGTGTTGAAGGTGTAGCGGATGTTCCTCAATCTGGGAAAGTGAGAGGAGGAATGAGACAGGAAATAACATAAACCTTTTGAATGGGTAATATAGAGATAGCAATGATGGTTAGGGGAATCTCTGCTGAAGTGAATTTATTAAAATAACTTTTCATTGACACTTATCACTGAGCTGAAATTCCTGTTATTGACTAAGGAAAGAGAGATTGATAGATTTACCATCTTCTAGTCCTGTTGTACTTACTTCCTCAGATGCTGTCTGGCAGCAGGAATGTCGGACATGTCTTCATTCAGGACGTACTTCTTGGTGCCGATGCAATAATTCTCGATGTACTCGGGCCAGTTCAGCTGGCGCACATCAAAGTTAAATGTCTGCAAGATGGAAAAGATGGTTAGGAGGGCATCGAGACAAAGACAAAACCAAAGCTACCGTTTTGTTTGTAATTGAAGAGAAATGTGAAATTCCACTCTTCATCACTAGATGGAGCAATAGACTCCCTAGTAATACCTGCATCAGATACTGTCAGGTGAAGCAAATATTGTTCAAACAATCTGGTTCCTAAATCAGCTTAGAAGGTGGAAAATGTAGCCCAAACTGGCAGCGTGTTTGTGGATACGCGTACCTTCCTGTCCTCCGGAGTTAGCTGGCTCATCAGCATGCTCATGTTCTCAGAGTTCCACTCCCAGTCCTGGCTGCTGAAATACTCCAGCAGGCCGATGGCCTTGTGCAGTCGATTGAAGATGCGCATCATCCTAGAGCGAGAGTGGGGTCAGAGGTTACGACACACTCGAACTTCTCTGTAGATTTCAAGTGCGACAGATAACAGCTGTGAGTCTTACTGCGGCTTTTGTCCAGAGAGACGCAGGACGAGGTCGTAGATGAGGGCAGGGAACTTGTGGCTGACCAGGATCCAGTACTGGTTGATCAGGTAGTTGGAGGTGATGTTGGCGTTGGGCCTGCGGTAAGCTTGATCCAGCGGGTTCCTCTTGAAGGACGACATTACATGGTGCTCTACAAAATGGGCATGGTTTAGGGGATAAATTAGGCAGCAAAATAAAGTATTTATCTCTGAGAGGCAAATGGAAAATGTACTAGTTCAATTATCTAGTTCAAAAACATTTATAATAAATAATTTGAATCATCTTGAAGACTCTTTTTACCAACTAGGTGAAAAAAACATTACATCTGCTGTACAATAAAATACTTTTAAATGTTTCCTAATGCAAAGTGCCAAAAAAAAAAAGTTTCAATAAGTTTAAAATATGTTTTATCGTGCAGTGGATAGGATACTTTTGTTCATCCAGGTCGTTGGATGAGGATTTTAAAAAGCCTTCAGCGGTAAGATTTCAAGATCCCCAGTTATTTAATTTTGGGCAAATCCAAAGCTTAGCTCTGTGACTGGAATGTAATGGAGGCACAAACTAGGGCTTTAAAAGTCAGCGGACATGTGGGGATCCCATGATGCAATGAAGAATAAAAAAGGTCCTTCAGAGCAACTGCAAACAGTCTGAATTATCAACATCCACTGACCAGGAACAATGAAACAGGTAAACAGACATATTGCAATTTCTATACAAGGATCTTGACTTCCAGGAACCATCAGCTGGCCTTAATGATGACATGATGTTTTTATCTCTCGTTCTCGGGGGGGGGGGGGGGCACACAATGACTTCGCCCCCACTGGGCAGCACAGACGGTCCCTCCTCCAGCAGCAGCCATCCACAGACACAGAGAGCAGCCGTGTGACCTCAAACATTACATCACACACACAGCACGGCAACTATAGGCCTCGCACCGCTCATTTCCATGGAAACAGATATGCAGGGGTTGCAGGGGCCGAGCGTTGACCAGATCCGAGCTGACAGCCAGCTGTGGCCGGGCCCCTTGCAGCCACAAACCCCCCCCCTAAAAAAAATGGGCAAGAGTACCCACAATTCTTTGCTAGCAACAAGGAGCTGGATCCTCCTTGTTTACTTGTGTTTTAAATTTCAGGGGGCATCTATTCTTTTGTTGGTCTCATTGTAATTTGTGCTTCGTTGCTTCTGATTTGGGCCAGCGAGATGAGAGTAAACGGTTCCTCTTTCATAACCGAGTTGCAGTGATGAGACCTAATCCTGCTACGAGCCATCTGGTAGCAATTTCCTCGGTGGAGGGAGCATGTTTGCTAATCTGAGAGGAAACGGGGTTAAAGAGGGTCCCTTGTCATCCAGCCAGCCTCACATCCACAGCTCTCTCATCCCACTGTATCTGATGACCGCTGGGATGGAAACAATGAGACTTTTCACCCTTCATGTGGAATTTCATCGCTACCTCATTTATCAGAAACCATAAAAGCTCTGAGCTCTAGCACCAATTCATATCAACTGCATCAAAACACACCTCAAAAGAAAACATCGTAGTATAATCTCACATACATTTTTAACTAACTTAAAGATGTACATGTGATTACAGACAGCGTGTGCTTTCAGTGAAGGGAAAATTCAGTTGTATGCTAAACCTTGAATACACGTTTACCTTTTTATTTTCTATGAATCAGGGAATATTTGAGCTGATGGCTAATGTCAGCACGCTAACATGCTCACAATGACAATGCTAACATTCTGACCTGATGATGGGGCGAGAAGAAAGTCAGAGGATCACTCTGACAGGGACTTGAAAATCTACATTTTGTGGAAATCCATCGGAGTTTCAACGTTTGGAATGTTTTGTTTATAAAACCACAGATGTCAACCTCATGCAAAAGGTAAAGGGATCACCAATGTCAGTAGGATTCATCCTCTGGGGACCACGAATGCTCATGACAATCATCGTTCTATAGTTGTTGAGATATTTTCCTGGATAAATGAAAAGTTGAACCTGCCGGTGGAACTAGAACAAGAACAAGTCAGTGGATCATACCAAATATGACGGCAATCCACCCAATAGTTGTTGTTGATACTTCTGTAAGAATCATGTAAGTTTTATGAAAACTAGTGTTATCTAACCTGCTTATGTATGAAAGTAAATCAGGTCTTGAGTATAACACCAACACCCTCCAACTTTAAAGCCATCTTCTGTCTCTTTCCAGCAGGTGGCAGACACTCTCCACAACAGCCCCGACCACAAACACAACTTAATACATGACAGGCGACGTTATGTCACAACACCGGAGTATTGATTAGAGACGATGAACACGATATTGTGTGATGCCGGCAGGCACAAAAAAAAAAAAAAAAACACGCTCTACAAATATCCGTCTGCAGCGAAAGGGTTCTATTACCTTTAAGCAGGACAACAAACAATGTACCTACCAATCTCTCCCCAGTGGAACGGGTTGATGCCGCCGGAAGTGCAGTTGTACACCAGAGCTGTTTTAGGTCTGCAAGTTGTGGGAGAAGAAGGTCATAATGAAGCCAATAAAAACACAGATTAGTCTGTATTTTCTGGACTATTTGAGCATCAAGCTATAAAACTATAGTACTATAAAAGTGCAAAGGTGATTCTTGAAAACATATTAATCTGAGACAACACATGCAGAGTGCTGACAATACATTTAAGCTGGAAAACTGAGGGGTAACTAAACCTTTTAACATACTTTCCAATGTGGAGTCAATACTTAACTTTCATTTGTCTGTTTTTCTGTTTTCCTTCTGAAAATAAGTACAGGTTGTCAGGGACATAAACACTGATATAATCACATAACAGTTGGTGATGTTGATGTATTATTACATTTGTGAGATATGATTTATTTTTTCCTTTATAAAATACTTTTATTTGGATGTAGTTTAGGTCTCAAAACCCAATGTTTTTAGTTCTTTTGTATCTTTTTATCTTATACCATTTGAGAGTGGTCTGTTCAGCGTTCCTTAATATTCTGTCCAGCATTAAAACTGACCCCAGTCAAGGGAAACTTTTCTCGTGACCTTCTAATAGTCCATTCCTCAGACTTTCTAATTATTTTTCCCATTTCTGTCTGGCTGAATAACTTTCAGCATCTTTGACGTCTGCTACTGCCAAAATAGGTTCTTCTTTTTCAAGGTTCAATAAAAAAAGAGAAGTTACTGCCTGCTTTTTACAGATAAAGGGAAATTTGGGAGTAAATATACGTGTCTGAAAAGTGAAGCCAATCCAAAGTGCCTTAAACGTACATTATTTTTAATGGCCATCAGGGGGCAACTCCTCTGGTTGTATAGAAGTCTATGAGAAAGTGACTCTACTTCTCTCTTGATTTATTACCTCAGTAAACATTGTAAACATGAGTTTATGGTCTCAATCTCTAGTTTCAAGTCTTCTTCAATACAACATGATGTTCATTTGGTGAACTATGATCCATTTAGAGTCAAATAGACCATAAAAGCAGGGTATGCTTTAGGGTGCGGCTACTGTGTGATTGACAGGTCGCTACCACGACGTTGTCCATTCTGGGATTTGTCCCCGTTTTCATCTTTCAAACATGTTGAAACTTTGCTTAAAATCAAGCATGAGCTTTTACACAGTGTGGACTCTCGGACTCATCTCATAGTATATTTCTTGTAAAACGTTTTTGTACTTCTTTTATTACTTGAGACTTTAAGTAATAAAGGTGTTTGTTCAACGTGAATGGCTTTCTGTTAAAAGACAGTGACACCAGGTTTTTATTAGGCTGAAGAGTACGTGTCCTTTATACAGGCTCAAGATCCTTTTACCATAAAAACTAATATCATGATTTTTTATCTGTGGGCTTTTAGTGTGGTCTGGATGGACAGAGTATCCCACAGTCTTTATGTATACACATCCATTATTTTTGAAACAATAGTTTTAAGTATTTTCTGGGATGGCAGCATAAACACACACAAAACATTCAACCCAAATATACCTACATATATATATATATATA